GGGTGTCAGGAGGACGGGGCCAGACTCTTTCCAGTGGTGCCCAGCGATAGGACAAGGGGCAACGGGCACAAACTGAAGCACAGGAAGTTCCAGCTGAACATGGGGAAGAGCTTCTTCACTCTGAGGGTGACGGAGCCCTGGAACAGGCTGCCCAGGAAGGTAGTGGAGTCTCCTTCTCTGGAGATATTCAAGACCCAGCTGGACAAGGTCCTCTACAACCTACTGTAGGTGACCCTGCTTTGGCAGGAGGGTTGGACTAGATGACCCATATAGGTCCCTTCCAACCCCTACCATTCTGTGATTCTGTGAAGCTCCGTGCCAGGCAGGGACAGGGCTCTGCTCCTCCCGGGGAGACCAAACCGCACATCGGACCCGCGAGTGCTGGTCCCACATCTGCCACCGAGCGACCGCATCCCGCTGCGCAACTCACACCAGCTCAGGGCCTTGGTTTCCCCATCTGTAAAATCGGGATAACGAGTCTTACCCTCCTCTGCGGAGCACTTTGAAAATATAATCACCTGCAGCTTGGCCCTGCAGTGAGGACTGCTGGCGCCTCAGGCAGGCTCGCGATCAGACATATTGGTCTTTGGCTTTAAACAGAAAAATTCAGGAATTTAGATCAAAGAGAATGGAAGAGTATTGAACGAATCACTTATTCTTTTTCACAGAATCCCAGCATGGCAGGGTTGGAAGGGCCGTCTGTGGGTCACCCAGCCCAACCCGCTGCCCAAGCAGGGTCACCCACAGCAGGATGCACAGCACCACGTCCAGGCGGGTCTGGAATATCTCCAGAGAAGGAGACTCCACAGCCTCCCTGGGCAGCCTGGGCCAGGGCTCCGTCACCCTCAGAGGGAACAAGTTCTTCCTCGTGTTCAGCTGGAACTTCCTCTGCTTCAGTTTGTGCCTGTTGCCCCTTGTCCTGTTGCTGGGCACCCCTGAAAAGAGTCTGGGCGCCTGACACCCATCCTGCAGATATTTAGAGGCATTTCTAAGGTCCCCTCTCAGCCTGCTCTTCTCCAGGCTGAACAAGCCCAGCTCCCTCAGCCTGCCCTTGTAGCAGAGATGCTCCAAATTTTTGGATCAAGTTATTAAAAAACCTGAGCAAAACCATCAGAAATAACACTGTAACAAAATTTATTAATGTCTGCTTAAACCCCCCATTTTGTATCAAACAGGGAGTGCAGAAGCCCACTAGGCAACCCAGTAACTCCGACTGACTGGGAAGGAGGGTGGGTAGGGATCGCTCTTTTCCCATGAAACTGAAGGTTTGAACCAAACACGTGAAACCGCACAACAAAATACGGAGCAGGAAATCCCGAGTCAGGGGGGCATTTAAACACAGCAGCCAGGGTTATAACCCACCGCAGCCCCTCTGCTTCACGAATGATACGCGAGAGCTTCAGCCCTGCCAACCAACAGGGTGCAAACAGACCCGAAACGAAGTGCTTAAAGAAAATCCGAATAGGGAAGCAGATTTGGCACTAAAGCTTGGGAAGCGCTGACGAAATAAATTGGAGCAAACCACAGAGAAGATGAACGGGCTGGTTTACATTAATGTGCATGACTGGGCTCTCACCAGAGCTGGCACGAGAGCCGACGAGGCAGACGGCGCATCTGGAGAAGGTTCTGGGTGGATCCGGCCCAGCCATTCTGTCTTTTATAAACAAGTGTTTAATACTTCAAGACTACTGAACGAGACTGCAAAGGCTATGAATAATTGTACCTGAGGGCTTATGCAATTTTAAAAGACTGAGAAATGTATATGCTATCACATTATCTGCTATCTTCAGATACCTCTCAGCTCTACTGCAAGACTTTCATGAATATTCTACAGTGCAAGTCTAGTTTTCTATTGCTCTGCATGAAATCTTTTGTTTTGATTCTCTGTGCTTCCTTCTGTGCTGATAAAGTGTTACGAGTGCATGAAATACTTCCCAAGTGACTAACATAATGTGCCCAATGCCAGTGCAGCTCTGAGCAAGCATATCGCTTTTGCTGAATGCAAAAAGGGAGATATCAGTAACAGCACTGTAAACTATAAGTTTTTAACAAAAATAATATAATAGCAATGTAGCAACCTGGCAGGAATTGCGAATAAATCACTGGAGTTAGGAACTCAGAGCCATGCACAGAAGATTAAATTTATTCATACTGTTTTTACTATCTTTTTTATTCATTGTGTATGACAAAAATGACATTAATTGTCTCAGTCATATTTCTGGTATACGTCTGCCAATTTTTTCAGGCTAATTGTTCAGACTTTACTTCGATGAGAACTTCTGTTGAAGGAAAAGTGAGCATTTACCTGGGTAAAACCTGCTACACTTGCTCTTGTTAGACACATTGCAGCTGTCCTTAGAGACATAGCCCATTGCGTGACAGATCACTTGAGGTGATTCTACAGATAAGTGAGCAGACATGGAAAACATCTTCCAATATGCATATGAGTCCTCTGTAGATACTGGCACCTGCGGCCACTGGGACACATTGAGTCAATTCCTTGTATAGTTTATTTATAATACATTTCACTAACACTGCTGGATCAGTTTTGTTCAAGGAACTTCTAGTCTGCATGCGTGCAATATTTGTGAGTGAACTTCAGTAAATGCATATGTTCTGGGTTTCTCAAAAATTCAGCCAATTTGCTCTAGCCTTAAGACTTGATTTATCATACACATGAATGCTTTTGTACGTGCATATGTGAATTTTGTGTGCTTATGGATGAGAGGCCTAGGCAAATCTTTCCTGAGGAATTCTTTACACACTGCTGGTGCAGATCATACTATCATAACACATCCTGAATGATGTTTAAGACCATGTTGTAACAGCTGGTGGAAGTCAATGCTACTGTAATAACTAAAATGAAGGCACTCTGATTTACATAAGATCTAGTTATTGTCAATTTGTTGGCTGTACTCAATGTGTAGAAGTCTCTTTAAAGTCATATTAACATAAATAAGAACAGATACATACCCTAGATTACTCCTTCTCTAATTCACTAAGATTCAAGAAGAGGTAAGAACTGTAGCTTAGAAAAACAAGGAAAAGTTTAAGTGATCGGGTTTTTTTTCCAGCGGTTCTCGGGATTTGGCAGCGCCCGCCCGCCCCGGGGCAGGCGAACCCTCGTTTCCCAGGCAATGCCCAAGGTGAAGAGGAGCAGGAAGCCTCCCCCAGATGGCTGGGAGCTGATCGAGCCAACGCTGGATGAGCTGGATCAGAAGATGAGAGAAGGTAAGCGGCAGACCTGGCTGCTCTCAGGGACGTGTCCCTCACACGAGCTCATCAACAAGGGCAAGTGCAGGGTCCTGCATCTGGGGAGGAACAACCCCAGGCACCAGTACAGGCTGGGGCTGACCTGCTGGAGAGCAGCTCTGCGGAGAGGGACCTGGGTGTGCTAGGTGGGTGACAAGGTGACCATGAGCCAGCAGTGTGCCCTGGCTGCCAAGAAGGCCAATGGGATCCTGGGGTGCATCAAGAGGAGCGTGGCCAGCAGGTCGAGGGAGGTTCTCCTTCCCCTCTACACTGCCCTGGTGAGGCCCCATCTGCAGTGCTGTGTCCAGTGCTGGGCTCCCCAGTTCAAG